CAAACACAATACACCCAGAACTGAATTCCAGACATGGGTGTAAGGTTCAGACCCACAAAGCTTTTAGGGACCTAACTCGCAGTGATCAGTTCTGAAACTAAATGACTGGCTCTAAGACAACAAGAGGGTAACAAAGCAAAGACCTAAAACGAGGTTTCCTAAACTTCAAACGACCTTTCAAAGTGCTGGATCCTCTTTCATTTCTTTACTAGTCAAGGGGCTGTCTGTAAGGGATTTTACGTAAATGAAAAGTGCATATCCCACACACACCACGGAACTGTCATAACACCAATCCCACTTTCAGCTGGAATTTTCAACTCTTGTGCTGAAATTGTTTTCTCGTAATTAGTCAGTAAGGGGATTTGAATTTTTTGTTTTACATTGAAAATATAAAGAAAAATACACTAACATCACTTTTCAGCTGATTCTCTCCCATCAGAGCTAAGTATAGGGATAAAAATAGGCCAACTAAGAAATCAACTACAACTGAAGAGAAACACAGATCTGCAAATCAGTTATGTGAGTCCATACAAGTAACTTCAACTATTTCCTCAAATTTCACCACTGCTGTGTGGTAAGAAGCAAAATTAACTTGCCTACCTCAATATGATGTTGTGAGGATTAACTGGATTAAACTTGTCAAGCAATATAATACACAGTATCTTGTTGCAGCTTGTTTTCTTACTCTACTAAAAGCAAATCAAAGATCCTAGTCTTTCTTGGAATCTGTGATAGACTCTTTTAAAAATTTAAAGATAATTCCTTTCACAGTGACATTTTTTCTATCCCCAACTGTATCCAAAAAAATCATTTTTTCACATCCTCATTTCTCAGCAAATGCATAACTTAAAATACATGTATCAATAGGGCATATGGCATCTACTTGAACATTAAATTTAAAATCTTCTTCTTTCAAAATATCTGCTTATTGATAACAACTATAAATCCACCCTAGCAAAACAATACATACATTTTCCTTTCAAAGACTCACAGACAATTTTTTTCTTTAGTGGAGAATGCAAGAAAGATTCTCACAACTTCAGTGAAGCTACTTTCCAAACTACATTACAGCAACTCGTTTCTTGTGATAAAAACTTGCCTGAACTACTATTCAATCTCAAAATTATTTGTCCCCAATAAAAAAAAAATATTTCCTCCATTTGCCAAATCCAGTCCTTAAACTGTTTGGCATAACCACCAATATTGTCATTCACTCAAATCTCAGTACTTTCCACAAAATCACTACTGAAGCTTGCATCTGTTTTGTTTGCAGAACCCACTGTTATCAAGGATTCCAAAGTGCACATTATCAGCTGCTACAGAAGGGCTATGAAATCTGCCATCCTTTGTGCACCAAACGTGACACTAAATAACCTTTAGCAAATATAGTAGGGGCAGCTAGGGTCACAGGAGTAGAGATTATACCTTCTGATTAGTTCTCCGTACAGAGTATCATAAATTTAAACTGATACATGGACAATAAAGACAGATCTTAGTTCCATTCTGTGAAGACAAAATTTCTCATACTTTCTGCCAGAAGATAGAGGCCTTTGATATATGTATGCATATATAAATATATATATATATATATATATATATATATATATATATATATTCTGGCATGAAATAAAGGGACTCAGTAATACAACTTCAAACAGAAGGTGAGATTTTAAACTTAGAGAAGATACAAAATGCAAAGTTACAATTCCTGCACGGTTTAGTTCCTATGGGCTCACTCCTGCAAGGCTCTGTCCTGTGGTCATGCTCCAATAAGGAAGTGAAACATGCCAGAAATCTCACTCATTTCAAAGTATCTACTCATAAAATTTGATTTAAGTAACTTGTTTAAGCATTTCAGTTAATGAAAAGGAGATCACTAAGCATTTTGCAGATCTAGGACCCTTATGTCTAAGGAAAGCATCAGTCATGTAGCGTTAAGGACACAAAAAATTTTCCTTACCACACATGCAATCATTTAGAATTTTCTGGTATTACCAAATTTAGTGAATACTCCTTCAAGTACTCAGTTATTTGAAAAAGATAACGTAGCCACTTGGGGGTTCAAACAATGGCTAAAAAAAAGGAAAAATTAATCAAAACTCTTTTCTATTGCTTACAGTATAAGAAGGTTTGAGTAGAAAAATGAAAATGTTTTCCATTAAAAATAAGAAGTGGGAATTTAGGAAACTAAGATAGTTCTGAAAACAGACTTCAGAAAAATCACTTGCTGTTCACATAAAACCTGTCTGACAGTGTTTTGACACATATCAGAGGTGAAGATTTTTCATCACTTCACAAACTCCAGCTAAAGTAGCTGCACAATAAAAGCTCACTGAGAAAATGCCTGAAAATTGTCTGAACGATGAGCAGAACAGAAACTGCTCTGAAGCACGATCTCATCCCCTACTGCCACAGAGATGTACTTGCCCAATTTCATTTCTGCACCTTGGCTGCTGCTGAAGTTCAAAGCTAAGAAGGTCTCCTTCCCACAGACCTGCCAAGGGAAGACAAGCTGAAGGTGACACAGCACTGTTCTCCTCCCTGAATATTAGAGCCACTTACGGCACTGCCTGTCACCTGTCAGGGGACAGGGAACAACCATGCAGCTCCTTTTCATCACGGTGGCAGCAAACACCAAAAGAGAAAAAATATTAATTTTCTGTTAAAATAAGGCAGTATTTAACTGCTTCACACTTTGCACCATACCTAAAAACTGTGTTGAGACATTTTTTTCTCCTTCAAATCCTAGTTAATTTCTAAGAAGCAAGACAATGTGAGAATATAATATTTGCTTGTTCAGCTGTTCTACAATACAAATGCCAAAGTCTGCATAAAAGATACATAATCATTAATGGTAACTCATCCTGGAAGGCAAATCATTGTAGTATCTATCCTATCTGCTTCTTTGAGATAGAAAAGATTGGGAAAAAACAAACAAACAAACAAACAAACAAACAAACAAACAAACAAACAGAAGTCCCTCTGAGAAAACTTGGCAGGAGATTTTATGTTTTATCTAATTGAGCAATAACACTAAATTCCAGAAAAAAGCTTAAAAATGAACCTCAACTATGTACATGTTCTTGAAACAAGCCAGGAATTGTGAACTAAGTTGCACCTGGCAAGGCTAATAGTTAAAAACAAAATATTGACAAGTAGTTGTTGATGAAGTTATTTTAAAGTGTGTCCCAAAATCCACAGACACATTATAATATGCTGTTAAGGTAAGGCCAGAATTGTAGGACTCATGCTTTTGAGATCACAACTCATACAGGAGAAGGTAAAGAATGCACAGATAACCTGGCTTAAGCATGAATACTGAAGGTTTAACAGGATGACCTTAATTTCTTCCTACAAAACAACCCCACCAAAAACACATGTACATATAGTATGTTTTAAGGTAAATCACCAGCTTATGGAAACTAGTAATGTCTTTTACAGATTTTTTTCATCTTCAGCTCAGCTGGTATTGCAAGTCAAGTATTTGGTAAGACAAATCTGGATTTCAGGAATCAGTACATGAGTGATGTCCTCAGATTTTTTTAAGAGTAATTTCTATTGTGTTTATTTAATTTGGGGGGTTTTTTTTCAACAGGTCAGCCAGTTAGAACTCAGTCCCATAGCTTGAACTGAATGTATCACTAGAGCATACACCCCTTCTTCAGGCAATTACAAGGCGGAAAGTACATCCAAAGTCAGTTATCCAAAGTCTGTTATCAAGATTTTTATCTTCTTAGTTACAAACACCTGGAAATTAGAAATTACAACATAATGGTGGGGCAGTAATAATCTTATGGTTATGTAGGGAGTGAAAATTACACTGTTTTGTGGTCTGCAACTTGGTATGTTCATCCTTAGGAGAAGTGCCAAGAGCTCTATTAAACTCAGAGATCAGTGCTAAAATGCATGAAGATGAGAAACAAATATATTAAGCTTCAATCTCCAATCCTAGGGAGTCTTGAGATACCAGATCTGAAATTCAGCTTGTCAAGCATGTCCTATAAATCTCTATAGGGAAGCAATTCGAAGTCCAGGGGGAAAATTCTTTCCACTAGTTTCACTGGGTTTTAGATAGGGCTCAAAAAAACTCCAGAACTCAAGGAGAGCTACAAGAGAGCACCCAGGATATCGTTTTCCAGTGGTATAAATCATTAATCTATGACTCCTGAAGTTCCTGAGATAGCAGTTTATGTTGAAATCAAAATGTAGGATGGGAGGGATAGGTACAGGGGTCAAGGGACAGCAAGCAGAATAATATGATTTCAGAACATAATCATGATTGGGGAAGAGCAACACGGAGAGTGTCAGAGCCCATGAACTTTCCAGTAATCCAGTAATCAGAGTGATATTTTAATGACTGCTATATGTGTGGGGCAATAAAAGCAGACAATTTTGTTGTGCTGCATAAATAACCAAACTGTTTACTCTCCAACGTTTCTGGTAATTTAAGCACAAATAACTTAAAATTTTAACACTTGAAAAATTACATTAATTTTTTTAAAAAGTGATTTTAGTAATCTGCAGTGTTATCCAGTGCGTGCACAGAAGCTGTAAACCTGAGAACATGTACAGTAAGCATTTTCCAACAATACAGTTCTACGATTAAAGCAAAGGTCTTCTTAGTGTTGCAACACATCCTATGTTGTGAAACAGGAGCAATTTGTTTAAGTGACAAATGAAAACAGCTTACCTAATCCTTTTAGGAGATCCTATCAATTCAGAAAATAAACCCAAAAGGTCTTCAAATGAAAAAGCCCACGTTATCGAAAAAATGTGTTTTCCATGATATTTGTATTCAAACACAGCAAGAGCTCTAGGAATCTAAATAAAACTACCAAGGTAATTATACTGCCTTTTTTCCACACAGATATCAATTTAAATAAGTTTTTAAGAATACTCACATCAGTTTGAGCCACAAGTGGCAGTTCCATATTTCAGGGCAGTTAGTCAGATCTTACCACTTAGCATTCAAAGAATCGTTTTTAAAAAATCAGACTTACATTGTTTTTTCATCTCCTTAAGTTGATCCTTAAAATATATATATTTTTCATTCCTTTCTAAATCTGAGTCACTGTTCTTGCCCTCCATTTCAAGGAATTTTTCTTGCGCCAAGCTTTCTAAATCTGGTAAATTTTCTGGTTTTTCTCGTTTTACCTGCAAGGAAGAAGAAACAGAATGCATTCATTATGGCACATTTTAATACAAAGCAAAAGACATCAAGCAAAACTTCGTTAGCATAATCTTAGTTTCTTTTGACTACAGTTAGGCTTCTTGCTCTGAAGCCATAACCTCCAAGTAATTCATTTCAGTAAAAGCAACCAAGAAATGTAAATATTAGCTTCTCAGTGTCATTTAACTCATTTTCTGGGTATTTGCCACACTAGCAAAAGGAAAAACTGAACCTTGCAGTCAAATTCACCGCTCTGAGTGGTGAAGGTAAACATGTTAACATGAAACAGCATAGCACATAACGAGAATGAAACCAAAGTATACAACTCTGTCCAGAAAGCAAGAAGATAACAGAAAATCTGAAATAACTTTTGTTAAGAGTTCTGTAAAAATCTTCAGTCTCTCATCACTTCGGAATCAGGTTTACAGACGGCTTGCAAGATTAGTGTGATAACACCAGCAAGAACAGTACAGCTAATATGAAAGGAAACCACCTCAATTGATTTGTGCTGGGTGAACAAGAAGCATTAAGCCATGCAAGCAGGCAAAAACAGTTTCTTGAAAAGCACTTATTTACAGCAAATACATCTGGAATGATCTGAAGAATAAATATCCAGAAAAGGGAAGTCATCACACATACAATATTAAGACATTCTAAGAATGCAAAAAGCACTTTGGGAATTCCCTAAAATCAGTAATTGGAGTTTCCTGTTTCTCAAGGCAACATTAAATTCTGGGGAACTGTAACTTTGACAGGTTTTCCTAAGAACTAGCTTACAAGTGGTAGGGACTGTGTTGTGCAATGAGGACCAGCAACAGAACCAAGTCAGAAAGAAGGTGGACATCTGTCAAATCCTTAATGCTAAGCATTTTCTGAACCAGAAAACGGCCACGTCTATCCCAAAATCATATCAAAATATGACAATCTGAAAAAAAGAAGGTAAGCACATTTCTGCTGAGCCACACTTCCCCTACCACACACACTAAATTCTGCCCTTTACCAAACCATGACACTATTCATTGTGAAAGAAAGGAAAAGGAGCCTACTGAGAAAAAAAACAGTCTGCTTCATCAAATCATTTACAGGATTGAAAGTTGACAGAGACTTTGGAAATCCTACAGAATATATTTTGTTTCAGGGGCCAAGTAAATAATAAATGTTCACATAAAAATTGACTTAGCAGATACATAAAATGAAAAAACCCAACAATTTTACTATCTCTTAAGCAAAGCAAAGTAATCCATAGAACTATTACTTCGTCCAAGAACAAAGCCAGTTTGGCGCATTTACTTTCAGCAGATGCAAGTTTTGGCAAGAAGAAAAATAAGAAAATAACATGCACTGCCAGGTGATAGCATGAAGTTTTCAAAGGCACCTGGAGATAAAAGATCAGCTAGCACAACATGAAGCTGTAAACAGAAAAGACTCAGTAATACTTTGGTACCAAAGGAGCACAGTGACTATGAAAGACCAACAGCATGTAATCAGAAATGCTTAGACTGCTACAGGAGCCAGACAGGAGTGGAGTCCTTATCCCATGAAACCTGATCAAAGGAGCAAAGGAAAACAGAGCATCCTGGGCCCAGTGCAGTGAGGACAATCATACACACTGAAATGGTTTGCCTGTGCCAGCATCACAGCACACTGCTGCAACAGAAGGCCTATCACAACCCCAACCAGCATTGTTCAGTACTCAGCTGGAGAAGAAACTTGGTCATTAAGTGTGTGCAAGAACAAAAAGGCAGTTACTAAATCAAAATTCATTTAAAATCCAAGACATCATAAAAGAATGCTTTGATCTGGACTCATGTAGTGCAAACATATTCCTTTCTGCAACATTACGCTGTTTTTACCAACATTCTCTCTTTAACATAAAAATAACATGTAGACACACACAAGCATAGTCCAAATAAAACCACACCACTAAGATCTGCCCTCATGACAAATGACTGCACTATGGCCAGTTCCCATATAGAAGATCCAGCTGTGTATACTAAAAATAACCCTGAAGTGCTTCTAAGTTGATGAGACTGGCACAAAGAGTAAAATAAATGATGTAGACATTCATCACAGACATCCATCAGTAGTAAAGACAATGTCAATAACGTTTTTCTCTCCATAAGGACCACATTACACATTGATAGTTACATCATGATCTCTTTATCTTTTCCTTGACTCATGGAAGATCTGAGTGCAGATATGCATCAACATAGCATCTTCAATCATACCCTCAGACTGAGAGGTGAAAAGAAGGGCATAGCCAATGTTACTTCAAACACTGGTTCTCAACTCCAACTTCCAGAAATAAAAGACTTTACACATATGAGCAGAAAAAACGGCAGGAACTGTAACTTACAGCATCATGCTACCAAAAAGGACATATGTTTGAGCAGGTGCATTACATCACTCTGTGCTGGTACTACCTCACCTCAAGTGCTGTGTGCAGATTTGGGCACCACAATGTCAGAAAGATACAAATCTGTTAGTGAGCACCCAAATGGGGGCCATGGAGATGATGAGGACTTTAGAGGAGGAGCTGCATGAGAAATGGCTGAGGGCAGCCCAGAGAAGAGGAGATTGAGGGGAGAACCTCATAGCAGTCTGCAGCTTCCTCACAAGGGGATGTGGAGGGGCAAGTACTGACCTCTGCTCTTTGGTGGACAGCAACAGGACCCAAAAGAACAGCATAAAGCTGTTGCAGGGGGATTTAGGTTTGGTATTAGGAGAAGGTTCATCACCCAGAGACTGGCCAGGCACCGGAACAGACTCCCAGGGAAGTGATCACAGCACTTGAGCCTGACAGAGCTCAAGAAGTTTTTTAATAATGCTCTCAGGCACATGGTGGGATTCCTGGGGGTGTCCTGTGCAGGGTCAGAAGCAGGACTCGATGACCTTTGTGGGTCTCTTCTAGCTCAGGATACTCTTATGATTCTATGATATGCACGTAAATAAATTTTGTCTGTGCCACTGTGGAGCTACAAAAATTTGCATGAAGACATCTTGCTATCCTCAAGAGAATGCTTATATAAAAATCTCCCTCAACACCTAACTAATCACACAGCTTGCTGCCATAGGTCCATCAAAGTAAGAGCTAGCCTTCTATTTGCTAAGGGCAAGATGAACAATTCCACCAGCTATCAAGAGGGAAAAAAAAGTCATTCACACTAGCTATATTCCCAATAGCAATACATTACTAGATTGTGAGGACAGCCCAGCAATGCAGCACATATGACAAAGTCTCAGACAACCAGCTCATAGAGAAACTTAGATGTGAGAGATGCTCAAAGAATGCACTTTCTTGTAGTTTAACTTCTTTCATGTTTCCAATTTAAATTCAGTTTCTGTTCACCTCCACATGATTGCTTTCATTAAAATGATTAGTAGAGACACCATTCCTGACCACACTCACTACTGTAGCACACACATGCTATTACTGAAATGCCAGGCAGACCTTCTGGAAGGTCAACACATCACAGGTGAATAATAAGGCACGTCCACCCACTATAATAACAAGCAAATAAATTATGCTGTGCACAAGCAATTTCTCTTTGGTGCTGCATATCCTATTCCTTGAAGAGCATAGAGAATGGTCTATACAACAACATAAATGAAAACAAATGAAAGAAAATGTCCCATCAGTCCTAGATCCTCATAGTGGGACAGAATTACAACATCTTATACACTGCATCAGCACAACACTTTTACAAGTTCATTAGTTTTCTTAGTTCTTGCCACCCACCCACTCCTACTCTACAGATTCTTGATGGATGTAGGAATGATGAGATCAGCATGACAAAATGTTTGAGGACAATACAAACATAGGGTATGGCTAAGGGACAAGGCAAAATTTCCAGTGTTCAGGGCACCAAGTTGGGGTCTTCTTGGTCTCAGCAGCATGTCATACAAATGCTTGCCAGCAGATCTGAAGTCATGGAGATGTTCAATTCCTCAGAATAAGTTACTTCACATGAGAACCATGAAAGACACGTTAAGCAAACAACTGTTCCTTTAGCAGCTCTGTCAGCCAAAACCAGCATGCTAAGTAACACCTTGCAGTCATTAGTCAATCCATTGAGAGCTACATCGATTTTGAAATGGGGTGGAGGCACACACACCCTACAAAGCATCCTGGAAATTACATGTAACGATGAACTGGGAGTGTTCAGGACATATGGTGAAAAGAAGTATCAGTCACAACAGCTTGTTTACAGCAACAGAAAAAGCAAAGCATCTGCTATGCTATACCAGCAAAGAGCCACACAGGTTTTTATATGGGGGGCTCTGAATAAAAGAACAGACATGTTATACATATACATATACATATACATATACATATACATATACATATACATATACATATATATCATATACATACATGATCTACCAGCAGTCCTGATAGGAAAACACATCTGCAAATGCTAAACACATAATTGTTTAGAAAAACGTAGCTGCAGTTTAATTATCCAAGGATACATTTACTCATGGCCTCACACCACATCACCTGGTCAGAGCCACACGTGCAAACACGTGTGTTTGGCAGGCAGTGCTTATGGAATGAGCCACTTCATGACATGTCTTCTGCTAATATCTGTCTGTAAGGATACACCTTCCTCTCCTGGATTCTTCCACTAGCAGTGTGTCTATTCTCTGCCTAAACTGTTAAAACTATGCCTCCAAAAATCAGGCTTTTTGAAAGGCCAGCTTGCAGAGCCTAAGGGAAGAGTAAATGCAGGGTATTCCAAGGGACAGTCTGGGGAGTTTTTATTTCATCAATTACCATAACCACCAAGTCAAAAATAAATTATTCTGTTCCAGACCAATGTCAGAACGAGTAAGGTCAAAGGTACCACAGACTAAAATCGGACCAGTTTGCGGTTTTAGTCTCCATACAGTAAAGGATCAGTGTCTAAAAAGGCACTCATTAGCATAACCCTGCATGCTGCGTTGCAGCATTTAATAATTGTCCTGCCCAGTCCCACTTCACAAACATTAAAGAATTTAGCCTCAGACACCCATTGTGACGTGT